AGAAGAAGAAGAAGAAGAAGAAGAAGAAGAAGAAGAAGAAGAAGAAGCCATCTTTAATGAATCTCAAAATTTAATTAAGAAAGAAAGGAGAAAGAGAGGAAGGAAAATGAAGGACTTAAGATTTAAAAAAACACCCAAGAAAGAGAAAAATAAGATGCAAAATCAATATAATGTTAGAAAACAAAAGAAAAAAGGAACACAACAGAGAAGGGAAGCTAGCAAGGCAGAGGCTAGGAGAAGGGGGGGGGTGTAGAAAGGCCTGGTGGGAGAAGAAAGAAAGGGAAAAGGTGGAGAAAAGCCACAAAGCTTTGAAACCAGATGGGAAAAGAGGAATCTTTTTTAGGGACAAAGGGTAAAGTATAATTTCTTTAAAAAAGATTCTGCAAGGTACATAAGATGGTACTGTAGCATTTGTATTAGAAATAGAAAATTAGAATGGTTTAAGAGTTAATAAGAGATTAAAATATTGAAATGTTTAGTAATGATTGATTTTAAAATCTAATAAAATATTAAAGGGAATGTTTAGAATATTGAGTTTTAATTAAAGAGTCTAATTGACTATGGTGTTGATGTTATTATAAACTTATTATTGTAGCATTTGTTTTTGGAAAAGACAATTGGAATGTTATAAGATTCAATATTTAGATTTATTATTTAACTATGTATTTAATCATTTTGGATTTATTATTTTTCTTTTTAAAAATTAGTAGATAGAATGTACCAAGCAGAATCAGATTGGGTATTAGGTGTTATTTTAAATGTTAATTTAGGGGGAAGATAGAAAGGCATCATACTCTGATTAGTGATTTCAGGAGAAATTCTTTTTCTTTTTTATTATAGGGAATGAGACAAATGGATAATAAAGAATGGACAAAAGATACAAATATAATGACTTAAATTAAAATGGATTAAATGAGATAGAATTAAGAAGAGTGAAATGTGTGGAGAAGCTAATATAGAAGATATAGAATGGTAAATAAAATAGGTAATGGCATGTAAGATGAGCATGAATATAATTGAAGTCCATGTAGAGAGAGGTATCTGGGGCCAAGTTACTTTCCTAAAAGATCTCTTATATTTTTGTGTGTTGTGTGTTTATGTATGTGGGAGAATTAATAAAACCTTGCAGGAATATAGAATGAGAATAATGGTAACCAAGTCAGAGAGAAATAGATGAAATAATAATGGTGAAATTGAATAAGAGTAAAGAGAAATAAAGAGAAACTGGATAAGAGATATTTGTATGCTCATATGGAAATGGTCTAAAATAGAACTATATTGTATAAAATAATGTTTTATTTCAGGGATCCCCAACCTTTTCGACGCCGCGGCCCGGTTCCGACATCAGCTGGGCGCCGCGGCCCGGTACCGGCGTCAACTGGGCGCCGCCATCTTTTTATGACGAAACAGCGCTTCCGGTGA